CATAAAAGAAAAAAGAAAAAAAAAACACCGCTATAATTAGTTTAAGTAACGACACCTTTTTGCTCGTAATCTACCATTTAGATTTATATTAACCTTTTCTTTTAACGTTAGTGTTAGAACTCACTGTGTAGAATGTAGAAGTAGAAGCTTACGTATTAGGCCATTTTTTGTTACTAAAATTAAAGAATGCTTTTAAATATGTTTCCGTTAACATTGTCCAACTCTTCGACTGCCCATTTCCAAATAATACCACTAGAAGCTTGCGGTTTAATGTGAATTTCTTACTGTAGGTGGGTGTTTCACTGGCCTTTGTCATTCACGAATCTGCAAATCCACATATGGGTAAGTGGTTCAATTTCTAATTCTTAAATGTGAAACCTGGCATGCTATGTGCCACATTTAAGTCTTACCTCTTTTGAAATCAGCGTTGTGTGATTGATTTGTATATCTTGTCGAGGTGGACGGTGAATTTCCATCTAATCACAAACTATATATTCTGCAGTAATTATGTTTTCTATTTTCAAATCAATGGAAAACTTCTAAACCGCTAGTAAATATTATCCTCTTTAGATTTTTTCTTTCGAACTTTTCCTCAAAGTTTTTAAAACGCGTCAGTTAGCAGTGGACTTGAGCGGTAACCGTTTGTGTTTTTTTAATTACTTCATACTTATTCCTTGACCCTCAGCCTATTTGTTTTTGAGGATATCCTCAAAGGAACAAAAGCTCGTAATTGATCGATAAAAATAAATCATTGTTTACTTCAAATATTTTGAAATATCCTGATGAAAGCAGAGAATTGGAGTAGAAATTGTATTGGAAATGTTGAAGAAAGAGAAAACACATTAAAATCTTCCACGTAATTCAAAGAACTTGGAAATCTCCCTCCCTAGGTTTCTTGGTTCTAAATCATTCTATTTGTAGTCACTTTCTTAGCAAGTGACTAATATCCGTCTAAAACAATGGTAACATGTCCTCATAATTCAATGTTAATTCTTTGATTTGTTCCTTTTACAGCTGTATTGGGGCGTCTTCCTGGCACAACTGTGTACAGAAATATTCAACAGTATCCTGAGGCATATACTTACAATGGAATTGTGATTGTTCGGATTGATGCACCAATTTATTTTGCAAACACGAGTTACATCAGTGACAGGTACCTTCTCCTACTCATGGTCTTCTTAGTTTTTGGCGTACTCGTTCTCTCAATCACATTGAGAACAATAACTTGCTTTTTTACCCTTTAATTTTCCCAAGTAAACAAATTCGATGAAAAGATTTTTTTTTTTTTTTTTTCACAGGCTACGTGAATATGAAGTTGAAGTGGACCGATCTACTGGTCGTGGACCAGATGTTGAAAGAGTCTATTTCGTGGTTATAGAGATGGCACGTAAGTTAATTCACCCTTACACTCATAAAATACATATAATTAAAACTAGTCTTCCTTGTTTTTGTTTTTATGCTTTTGATGGTAATGCTCGGTGAAGAATCACGATTCTCCACAATGGTATGATATTGTCTACTTTGAGCATAAGCTCTCATGTCTTTACTTTGAACTTCCCCAAAAGGCCTCATATCAATGGAGATGTATTCCTTACTTATAAATCCATTATCATTCCTTAAATTAGCCAACGTGGAACTCACGCCCAACAATCCTGCTCCTCCTAGTATCTAGTTAGAATTTGTAAACTACGTTTGGGAAGGACGAGATTGTGGCCAAAAACACCTCCACTCAAAATCATGTTTAAAAGTGATTTTTAAGTGCTTTTGAAGTAACTAGGACTTGAAATATTAGGTGAGAAAATCCTTATAAATTGCTTTTGGCTGCTTGTTAAGGAAGCACTTAAAAACACTTTCAAAAAGCATCAAAACAATTTAACATTAAGCACTTTTTACTAAATTGATTATAATCAACATATTTATTGACCCCTTTAGTCTAAATTATTAATCTTTGTGTTCATTTTTCCAATGCGTTCTCTACCTTCCCAGCTGTTACTTACATAGATTCAAGTGCTGTCCAGACTCTAAAAGATTTGTATCAAGAGTACAAACTACGTGATATTCAGGTAAGTTATAACTTCTTTACTCGTACGACAAATAATCACTGAAAATTTCTTCATAACCATTTGGTTTGTATATAGATTGCCATTTCCAATCCGAATCGAGATGTTCTACTTACATTTTCAAGATCTGGCGTTGTTGAGCTTATCGGGAAGGAGTGGTTTTTTGTTAGAGTTCATGATGCAGTCCAAGTTTGTCTTCAGCATGTGGAGAGCCTAAAGGAAACAACCATGAGATCAGTTTCTTCTCCAAATGATGCATCGACCTATATCCAAAGGTTAGTGAAGTCTAGAAATGAGGATTTATCAGTGAGCCAATTAGAGTCAGGCTTCCAAAAGCTTCCAAGTTCTAATGAAATTGACCCTCAATTGGAACCATTACTGTCTCGAAATCCTTGAAAATGATTTGGTCCTTAGTAATTTTTTATTCGCATACGTAGGATATCTATTATTTTGTAAAGCCGTGCATATGTATGCTTTTACTGTCCCAATTTACTTTGTGCAAGTAAATCGATTTGTGGTTGTGATATTGAGAGAAAAATTAGTCTATTTTGTAAAGGCTTCGAGATGAATTCGGGTTGATTATGAATTCAGTTTGATGTATGCTATGAACAGCCAAAAAGTGGATGTGGTTTGATATCATGAATGCTAATGCAATTGGGTTTTTAATTTGATCACCGGTTGTAGGTTGTAGTTTTTGTTTGTGGAAGTGGTAAAGGTATGTCGTTGAATGGATCGAGATCACCTTTGAAGGTCAATTATGTTGAAAATATGAAATTGTAATTAAGAAATACTTCGAAGAATTGATATTTAAGCGTTTTTTACTTGGAACAATCTTACATTAGGTGATCTCTTGGAACGCAAATTTTCAACACGTGAAAGCAGTTCAAGACAAGTAAGATACTCGGTCACATCGCATTGGATGTAGGGAAATGTTGGGAAATGTTGAGAAATGTTGGGTTTACCAAGTTGTATGTGAATTCCTCACGTGAAATGTTACAAATATCTTAATAATATGATATCTATCTTTTTTTTTTTCTTTTACGTTAGTTTTCTGAACCATATGTCATTTAATTTATGCCAACGAATAATAGGTATTCCCACAGTGAGTTGTGTAATAGGTGACCATTTTGTGTAGTTCGAAGGGTGCTTGAGTTAGTTGCCAATGCCCGAGTGCGTCTTGACCCCTATCCAATTTTTGGGCCAATTCCCCCTTCGTACTACCAACGTTGCACTGACTCTTACTAAACTAATACCTATTTTGTTTAGTTTCGTTAGTTTATCGGGGTCTCCCATTTCTTCATTTTCATTTTACTACATTTTGTTTCAAAACGTCGAAGAATCATGTTTATAGGATTAAACTTCAAAAAAAAAAAAAAAAAAAAAAAAAAAAAAAAAAAAAAAAAAAAAAAAAAAAAAAAAAAA